GGCAGTAAAAACAATAACCATGGTTATGAGATTATACATGGGCGAAACACCTTTAAGAATGTAATATAAGTTAGATGAAAGCAGTTCAATAAAACATATTTTTTTCGAACGTTTTTTTGTATTTTAAAAAAGTAATAGGAATTACTACGGCAATAAATCTTGCAAGTAAAACAATCAGGATTGAAATGGAACTTAACAACAACAGCGTAAGGTTGACAGGAATAATTAACATTTCAAAACCTACCAGTAAAAATAGAATTGCATTCAGCACCTCGTCCATCATTTCCCAAAATTTATCTATGTAATCTCGGGTCATATCGCTCATAACTGTCTGCCTGCTTTTATTGCCGGTAATAATGCCTGCCATTACCATTGCCAGCAGTCCGCTTACGTGCAAATAACCGGCTAACCAGTATCCGCCCATTACTATAGCAAGGGTAATTAATACTTCCACTATGTAATTATCTATTGAACGCAAAAGCAGGAAGCCGGCATATCCTAATAATATTCCCAATGCCATGCCGCCAAAAGCTTCCTTTACAAATAACCACGCAATACCGCCGGCTGACACATTCCCGATGCCAGAAATAATAACCTGATAAATAGTCATAAAAATTACTACTGCAACACCATCGTTAAATAAGCTTTCTCCGCATATTTTCATTTCTAAGCTGGAAGGAATGTTAGCTTTTCTGAGAATACTTAATACGGCAATAGGATCAGTCGGAGAAATTAATGCACCAAATAACAAGCAATAAATAAATTCGATTGGTAACCCTAAAGCCTTTGCAGCAAAGTAAAATAAAGCGGCGACAATAAAAGTAGAGATTAAAACACCAATTGTTGAAAACGTTAAGATGGACAAGCTTTCCTTCTTCAGTAAATCTATATCGATATGAATGGCGCCGGCAAACAATAAAAAACTAAGCATGACTTTCATTACAGCAGTATGAAAGTCAATTGAGCTTATCAATATTTTAGTTTTAAGAAAAAAAACAGGATACAGCAACCCGGCACAAATAATAAGGAGTGACGCAACAAGTGAGATTAGCATGACACCAATAGTGCCAGGCAATTTTATAAATTTAAAGTTGATATAGCTAAACAGGGCAGTAAAAACAATAACCATGGTTATGAGATTATACATGGGCGAAACACCTTTAAGAATGTAATATAAGTTAGATGAAAGCAGTTCAATAAAACATATTTTTTAAGAGGCGTGTATTTTTGTTTCCCACGACAAATCAATCAATTAAAGAGGAAAATATATTTTTGGCTTTTTTTCTCTCTTAACGCAGTCAGCGCGAATAATTTTTCATAACCTCAGAAGAAGTAATACTGTCTTTTATTTACCGGTTTTTGGGCTGATTTTTTTCTTAGAATTTTCTGCTGTTTAATAGTCTTACCGTTCATCTTATGTCTTTCCAATTTATTTATTTAACGCCATCTTTATCATTCCACCAGCCTTTCATTTT